CACTGTGCTTGTGCACAGTCCTTTAATTCATTTTATAGAGACTGGCAACAATTTCCCAATTTTACTAGGTCGATCAGGACACAGAATGTATTTAAAATAAAAAAATAAAAATGGAATGAACCAATCTGAAATAAAAATACTGAGATAGCCCAGCCAAGGAATCTGTTCTCTCAACCACAGAAACCTGTTATTGCTCGTGTGGACTAATCTAAGTGCATTCCTTTCAGCTTCCTTAAAATGCAGCTTTTCCAAATCCACCAAGCCCAACTGGCACTATCCATTTACTTGCTTTCATGCACGCTGCAGAGATTATTATCCAGCTTTGCTAGCAAAGAGAGTCTGAAATCTGAGCGTTTTCTGATGGTTGTAGGTACAGCTGAGTTTACAGAGAACAGGAAAACCAGCAAGCCTGCCTGGAACACGGACTGCACCTTTGGAGAGCTCTGTGTTTCATAACAAACCCCAGCTCAGCTCCAACCCACTGCAGGCCATGAGAATAAAACTGCTAAACTCAGGTATTGCCAACACCTGAATTATGCAAGTCTTGCAGGGCTGGGTATCTTTCTTCAGCTGAATCCAAAATTTGCAAATAAATTTCAGTTTTCATTTAAAAACTTAAAGCAATTTCTGCCTTCTCGTGACTACCATGAAAAGTTTTAAAATATTTAGTAGATGCACCCTAAAGGCTCAGAAACCTGGGGAAGAGTAAGAAGAACCTGTTTGTCTTTTAAAAAGAGTCTCATGACTTATAAGGTGGTATCTTGCTTTTGGGGATGGGCGGATCAGATTAATTTTTTGATAGCTTGCATTTGGCAGTAATGTTAACTTTTACTTATCTTGACATACAATTTTAATTTTTACTTTCCTACTGCAATCCTGTTTTTCCCCATGTAGCAGGTTCTGCTAGTGACAGGTGATTGCCAAATATTTTTTTAGAGGGAAAAGGGAGTGCAGTTGTTTATTTATTTATTTGTGCTCAGAGTGGGTGGGGAAGGTCTGCACACAACTTCCACAAAGAAAAAAATCTGCGGTGGCAAACTTTTGAAATGCCTCGCTTTCTTCTGCTGCAGAAATAGGAGGAGATATTGCCACACATGGGCACATGGGAATTTTCCACAATAAATGGGACGCTATTCTGCTTAAGTTCTTACTTAACCCAATTCAGAGGGCTTCTCACTCAACCTCAGCAACCTACTCTGCATCTCAGCATTACAAACAATAACTGCTTTTTCCTTTGCAGCATGGTTTTCAAAAAGGTTTTATTGTATGAGTATGCACAGGAGAAACTCTGTCCAATTTAGACTATAAAGGCTTTTGTTTTTAAATATTTCAATAGAGTTTCAATTGTTAAAGATTTTCCTTCTGAAAAGACTGATTAACTTGCTTATATTCTTACTTGCATTCTGAGGTCATTAATTAAAAAAAATAATCAAGGATGCTTATAAAGTCCTCTGCAATCCAATCTCAATTTGTCATCATTAATTAGATCAACATTGCATACAAATGAAGACCTAACCTGATTAGACAGCACGTTTTACTGGAATTCCTACTTAAGGTCATGAAGGGCTTCAGAGAAAAAACTCGTAATATTTTCAAAGTGAACTGCTCATACATATGGAATCACCTTCTCATCTACCATCAGCTCGTGCTTCACTTTGTAATTGTGCTCTTTTTTTTTGTTGCCCCCTTTAATTAGGAACCCATCACAAACCTGAGCAGAGAAGCTCCCTTCCAGCCTACATTGTACAAATACTGCTGATTTTGCAAAGGGTGTCCACTGTCTGGGGACAATAAAACTCCCCCACAGAAAGAGTTTCCAGAATTTGGAGGGGAAAAAACAAAAAAGTTTTAGGAGAAAAATTTTTCCAGGCCAGGGACATTTTCAGACACATGGCATTTAGGTAGTCAGCAAGTACCCACTCTTCTTCCCCCCACCTCCAACAAAAGTAACCTTGGGATCTACATGTGATTCCAGATTATTGCCTCCAAAGCACACAGACTGGGATCTAAATGCACCAAGTGGCTTAGAAATTTGAAGCATCTTCACAGGTCTCTAATCATTCCATGAAAGCAGCTCTTGCTTTTTGGAGAACTAACCCATTCCTCTTACCAAGCCCACAGTCTTCGTTCCCATGAGCTGATCTGACATGACTCAGCCCAAAAGCTCGGAGGAGCTCTGGTGAGGTGAAATGAGCTATCACCCAGCACAGCAGATCCCCTGCCAGTCACCCCTGAGCCTTCCCAGCAGGGCAATGTGGGTCTATCTGGCTCATCCACTCCCAAACAGGGGAAAGGGCAATACAGTGGATTTCCTTACAATACTGTTACCCTGGGGAACTGCAAGAGGGGAAGGAAGAAAAAAAACCAACCAAACAAAAAACAACAACCCAGAAACAAGGCTTTCAAGTTTTGGACTCTTAATAAGGGTGGGGTCATCAAGTAATTAAACTTTTAATAGGTCACTGCAGTGGAAGAAACTCTTCCAGTTGGGTAAGTTCCTAATCCATCATTAAAAAAAAGATGACAGGCATTAATCAAAGTGTATGAAGTCACATGGGGGGGGGGGATGAGCAACTCCAAGAACTTGCTCTTGCTGAGAGGATGGGGCAATCACTCCTCCTTTCATCAACATTTCAAGCGTGTTTCCACACTTCTCAGGACGACAGTGGGAAGGAGAGCCTTCACGTCCTTCCCCACCCACCCCACTGATAAAGCTGTCGAACACATATTACCAACTGCTCAAGAGCTCATGTGAAACGAGTTGGTGGATTAATTAGCAGAAGGGCAGAGCTCTGAAGATGGAAAGATGCTCTGCTCTGAAAGGTGTATTGATTGAAGGTCCCCAGCCACCACCACAGGACTGTCATAATCCACTGCCAACACACAGCACACTACCAGCTCCTGCATGAGCAGCTAAATCTGGGCCACTTGGCTCAGTGCAGGGACACCTGGACCACACTCACTCCTCTCTGTTCAGAGAGCTGTTCAGGAGCCCATTCCTTTAGTAAAATACATAGACTTAGACAGATTGCAACGTGTATAGGAAACACACCTTCATCTGTTGGTAGAGTGGTCCACATCAGGGTAAAGGTCAAGGAGGGGAAGCTAAATGTGCCTTCCCTTAGGCTGCACACATTTGATGACTGTAGTCACCAAATACTGATTTTATTTATTTTTAAAGTGAGCATGTAATCTGATCTTTGACCACTACTCATATCAACACTAAAACTCAGCCTTCAGTTCTATCCCAGAAATCCACTACCACTAAGGTAAAATATCTCAAGTGCTTGCTTAACTTTAAGCTTACTTTAAGCTCTCTCGCCTTCATCTCTGCTGGAACAGCCTACTCCATACGTTCAAGCCTCATTTCAAAAGACTGCTTTTCGTAGTTGAAAGGACAGCATCAAACACTCTGGTTCCTTGCAGCTGCATTAGATAATTCTTTGTACCATATGTATCAAAAGAGAATGTCTTTTCATATCTCCTTCAAAGGACCCTCTCCAGAGCAGCTTGCAAAAATCCAAGCCAGCGCTTTTTTGCCCTGAGAAATGCAAAGTAGAACTGACCCACAGTTTCCTCACCTAAAAGGAAGTGAAAATGTGTATAGTGCCATAGGAGAAACATGGACATGAAAACGAGTGTGAAGTACAGAAGAGCATCACTCCTCATGCAGATGAGTAAAAAATGTAATTTCAACCTCAACCTTAAAATGTCTCACCCTTTTATGCATAAACAAATGAAAAATTCGGTTGTGACTGGACCTATTACATTTTAACCTCATTTAACACAATTTTCTGAACTAAGTTCTTAATATTAGTTCTAGACAAATTTTACCAGAAAAGGCTTTTAAAACATAGAGGATGCAAGCTTACAGTGATCAACTGTTATGTGGCATCTTTTTCCAGAGTGGAGCACAAGGGTTCTGCTGCTTTGCTGGCAGCAGTGGCTGGGAGTTACTTTTTTAGTTGCATTTGCAACTAGATTGTATTTAAATCTGAGATTAAAATAGTTCGTCCAATTAAAAAGGAAAATAATAATAATAATAAAAAGCACACGCTATTTTAATGCTCCTAGCTTTTGGTAGAAACTTGATCTTCTTTTATTAAAAAAAAATAAAATAAAATCCTTGCTTTTATTTGGGTAGCATGGGGTAGGACATTATTTGCTGCACCTACTCTAAGTGCCTGCAGGAGACAAAGGCAAATATTGAACACCTTTAAGACAGCAATACTATCTACTATAACCATGTCTGCTCTTAGAGCCCTAAACCACAACAGCTGGACTTACAGCTCCTGCAGTGCTGTGTCCTGGACTATGAAGTCTCCAGAGATTGAACAATCAAGCCAGCACCACCAAGAACTGGGTTTCAGGTTTCAAGCTTCCATATTTTTTTTATAAGGCAGTATTCTGACAGCAAGAGCAAAGTGTTAAATAAAACATACCAAAACAACAAACCAACAACAAAACCCCACAATAAAACAACCCCTCCCTCTTAACAGAAACCCAACACAGGGCAGACCTAAGCTGGTGACAGTGGGGTTCCCACACAAGCTGCAAGAAGAAAAGGACACAGAAAAAGAGAAAGCCTCACCCTGCATGGGTCTGAACAAGGAGCACCACCTCCATCCTGCTGGCATGGCCCCGTATGCTAAACCTCACAGAAACCCATGGATGCTGAAGAAAGCCAAGGGAAGTACTGAAGCAATGCTAATGCCCACCCAAGGTTTTATTTCAGCATACCTACTTGACCCAAAAGGTCTTTAAGTAACCAGGCACTTTATTCACCTGGGATCTAGTGATATTATTGATGGTTAAATTCCTACCACACCCTCCCAGAGCAACCAAGATACATCTTTCCCATCTGTGTGACACATCATACTCTGAAGAGTACTCGGGTCACTTTGTCCTTGCATAAGCCTTGATATGTATCATAGGAATAGTATCACTAAGGGCATGGGGACTGAAGCCAGTGAAGGAGCAAAGTGATGCTATATCCTTACCGTCCATGTTGCTGACTTTGCTGTGCTGGACTGTTGAAATGATACATCAAAGCTGTGAGGTCCTGGGTAGTCTGTGTTGGAAGGGATGGCTGGGGAGGGCGAGAGAGCGTCAAAAGTCGAACTGGGCTGGGCATAAGGCGAGGGGGCCGTGACGCTGTTCTGCGCGTGCTCCGTGTTGTAAGGGCTGGTGGAGGAAGAGCCATTCTGGATCTGCTGGTCCATGCTGTTCAGGAGCCCCAGGTTCGTGTACTGCGGCTGGAGGCAGAGATCCACAGGAATGTTAGAGAAGCAGCATTAGGACAGGCTGGCTAGACATGGCATTGCCTTCACAACACAGGGTACATAGCATAATCTCAGCACCACTGTATATGTGTCACACTAGGACAAAGCCTTGCAAGGGATATCCCCCCTCTTTACATCGGTGACTGAAACAGAAGGAAGTAAAGCTGCTCACAGTTACACAGTGGATCAACAGCAGAGATGGGAAAGGAGCCTGTACACAACTAGGAGGCGATTCGCATGGCAGCAAGCCACCACAAGGAGACAGGTTTGCTATGTCTAGCAACACCCAGACAGACCTTTTGGAGGTACTGCTATAACCTGATAAAAATCAGCAGCTTCATTACAGTGCAACTGACTCTAACTTGTACAAGGTTACATTGTCTCCAACAGTTTTGTGCTCTACACAAAGACTGTTCCTCTTCTTGTGGATCTGATTCTTCTACACACCATGACACTTAGGGCCTTTAACTCAGGTAGCAACTGTGCTGAAGTGTGACTCACTGGAAAAAAAGTTTTGTGGCGCCAAACTTTGCACCATGCACTCAATTCCCAGTGACTGGTCACAGACAGTGGTGGAGAATTCAAGTTCTCATCAAGCAGAATGGAAACCGACAGCATGGAAGGCTTCCCCCTCATAACTGAGAAGAATCGGTCGTACAGTGTGTAGCACTGAAGTAGCCTTAAGTAGACACAACATGTGAAACAGCTGCAGACATCAAAACAAAAAGCCTTGGAGAATGGAGTACAGAAAAAGCAAAGGTTAGATTAAGAGTTTAACAGAGAAACCACATGCCTAGTGCCCTAAAATTCAATGTGTAGCCGTGGTCCCCTGCCTCAAAGAGACAAGAGGGGAACACAGTTCAGAGGAAGGTGACAAGAATAAGCAAATCCTTTTAATGCGTTTCTGTAATACAGGAGATGACAACTTTTCAGCCTGGAAAAAAGACAATGAGGAGAAAGCTGGAATTCTGTATGACAGAACAGGATACATTCCAAGGTGATGTGGAAAAAAGCAAATACAAAATTAATTTTCATGTTCTCTTAGAAGAAGAGTTGGGAAACACACAAACATCTTGAGCAAAACTTTGGTTTAAACACACAGTGATTCTTCACAAAGACCACAAATAAACATGGAATTTTTTTGGCACAAAATGCTGCAATACTAAAAGCCTACATACATTAAAGAAAGCAGGAGACAAGTTCTGCTGGAGAAAAATCCATCAAGACAAGTGTACCTGATTTTAAAATTCTGAACTACAAACAGTTGGAAGCTGGGAAAATATCATGGGGAAAGTTACACAATTACCACGCATTTTTGATCCTCTGAAGGATACAGCATTGGCCACAGTGACAGGGCAGCAGGCAAGTGGTATATGGGGTTCCATCAGCTACACAGTCTCATCCTTGTGTATGTCCAAAGGGTACTAACTGCAACCAGCTTAGGGCAAGCAGCATCCAAAAGGTTTGTGGTACCCATTCCCAACAGCTCTGGGCTCAACCAGGAACACACAGCAATAAAGGCACCTGGTTCTGTTAGCTGCTGACACCGCAGAAGGGACTCAAGCTCTTCCTCTTGTCCAAGGGTCCAAAAGCAGCTCACGTCCCTCAAGATCTTATAGCTTCAATTCCACCCAGAACCATCAAGCTCACCTATCTTTGAGTATTTCAACTAGTCTGCTCGTAACTTTCTTCATCTTTCTAACAGTTTCTCCTTTTCCAGACAACTTCTCATCAGCCAAAAATCAAAGGTTCACTGAATCAGCACCAACAACAAGGCCCGTATCAAAAAGCTTTCCCAATACTAGGAATCTCAGCAGCCCTACTGAAGCTTTGAGCACCACGCCACTCCTCTAAGTACCTGAAGGGGAATGGCACAAGCTATATGCTGAGCTCTCCTAGGACTTTAGACAAGCCATTTAACATCCAGCGTTACCAGTCTTTTCAGCCAGAGGAAAACAGGATGGTCCCTTTGCAGGGATGAAGTGTCCTCCCTATGCCCAAAGATTCTACACTCTCAGCTGTTCTTCCAGAAGGGGAGGAATTACAGAAATTTAAACCTCCCATTGCAGCTCTTCCTTAGGTTTCTGTTTCACTGCAAGAGGCTGATATTTTCTGTGCTTTTCATTAAACACTGAAGGTGAGGCTGATGGTCTGGGATCTTCAGTGAGGCACTTGGGACCTTCCAGAGATGGATCAGCTTGCAACTAAGAGCTGTGCTGTGAAGGGGAAAGTCTGCTGGGGAACAGCATAGGGGACTTCATTTTGGAAAGTGGAATGGGCTGCAGAGGGAAGGGAGGGCTGGCTCCCTCCCTTGCTCTGTCTTCAACTTGCTGTGTCCTTGGGCAAGGCACCTCACCTCCCCCTCCACCCTCAGCCTACTGCAGGCAGCAAGGTCTGTAGGGCAGGGATTGCTCCTCACCATGTAAAAAGCACTGCACTTAATGGGCCTCTGCTTTGTCTGAGGCCTGCAGGCAGCAGAGTAATAAAAGCAATTACATATTGAGTCCTAATCCTGGGTGAACCAGTGACTCTCCGTGTTGCCTCAGGTTAGTCATTTGCCCTCCCTGCCTCAGTTTCTTTCTCTGTTGCAGTGTGGATGTTATAGATGCACAGCACCCCTGTTAGATGGGAAAGTTAATATCTGCAATTGAACTCATGGCATGCTAAAGAGTTGACAAGGGAATGAGTGATCCAGACTTGTTCTCCTTCTCCAAAAGGAGATTGCAGCTTTGGCAACGCAGATGACAGTTATGTCTCATCTCCTGCAGGCTATTCAGTCAACCAAGACCTATTTAACGGACTTTTGGTACATGTTTTCCCTTGAGGATGATTCTGTACAGAAAGAGCCAAAATGATGATGTACTGTACCAGGAACAGTCTTTTACCCGCTCAGTAATTTTCTATTTAATCAAAAAACAACCCTCTCTGCCCTCCTGCCCCAGAATACCTGGGAAGACCTGAAGACTTCCCAAAAATGTAGAATTATCACTCAGTTGTTTCATTTCTCATGGAGATTACCATCAGACATACTCCCTAACCAGCAAATGATGAAAGGACAGCTGTGATGAAAACTGTCTCCTAAACCAGCTCAGACATACAGACAGCAAAACAATAGTGTTTCAGCTTTCACTTTAAAACTATTCCCTCTAATCCGGTCAACTTAAGTTGATGGAGAAAGATGGCCAAACAGGCACTCAGCATTAACAAGACAGCAGAGTCTGGAAATGCTGAAGGTGCTGCCTGGACATCAATTAAACAAAAATAATAAAATAAGTGCTCCATTAAAACGTAAGATACCCTTATGAGAATCAAAGATCCTTTTCATTCCTTTCAGTCCAGAGACCATCTGTCTAAATGTTATCAGCCAGAGCAGCCATTCCACTGCATTTATACACTGACATGCCACAGTCAAATGCCGTGTCCCCATTTGCTCTTTAAATAACTATTAATCTCTTTGCACTTATCCTCACGCTGACACAAGCAGCTGTTGGACTCCCCTTCTCCTGCTTTGAGTCCTACCAGCCTTTCACCTTCTCTGGCCCCTTGTTTCCCTCCCCAGACAGGTGCTCCATCCCAGTGACAAAGCCAGCCGCTGGTTTGCACACACACAGCACTAAACCCTGTCTCACAGCTATGCCCCAAGGCAGGTGGGAGAGTTGTTTGTGCTCAAGGGGTCAACATCTGAACTGCTTGCAAGGTTTTGGAGGAATCAGATAAGACTTTGGGAGGCACACGCCTTCTGACAACAGGACAATTAGAGGGGCAAAAGGCCCGGGAAAGGCACACGCAGGAATTCACCCACCACCTCAACGAGGCCCCTTGGCCCCAGCAACACTGGGTATGGCGAGAACAAAAAGAGGCTGCAGACTCAGTCTGAAAGGTATTGCCTCCCACAAGAGGGGTCGGCAGGGCGTGTGTTTGCACAAACATAGCTTCCTTTCACCATTTACAGAAAGAATCACAACAGCATTTAATCCAGAAATTAATTAGTGGCAAGTTTGTAGCCCAGAATTTAACACAAGCTCATGTTTTGCTGTGGGGTTGTTTTAAACTACTACAGAATGTAGCCCCACCACCAAATCCTGATATAAAGAGAAAGTTATTTGGTGGAAAGAAGAGAATTGTATGCAAAGCTAAAAGAAAAGATTATCTATTTTCAGTGCTTTTTTCACTATTTTGTTCCCTCCATTCAAGTTTCTGAAACTATTAATATCACTGAAGCATTACAAAAACCTTCAGGCAAGTTTAACTGCAAATAATTAGACAGCTACAATTAGATCTTAGAATCTGTATTTCTGAATATCATTTCAATACTGTATCTTGAGCTATCAGTTTCGCTTCCTATATCCCATCAGCTTCACTTTCAGGTTTTTGTGCTAACTCATGCTTCTCGATTAGGAGAAATGTGGTTTCACTGGAGAGGCTGCTGAATGAAAACCCAGACTGAAAACTGCAGAGCCATAAGCACGGTTCTGCTGCTGGGAGGCTGGGCCTCCCCAGGGAACGTGGTGGTCAAGGTAAAGCAGAGCCCTTCCTCTGACCCCAGCAGCTCCGGGGCACTTGCCACCAGAGGGCAATGCAAATGCTCCATCACATGGCAGAGCTGGTGTGTGCAAGGGAAGATGCCCCAACCCACCCAAACTGGGGCCCTTCTCATACTGCCTTGCAGCAAAGAACCCACCCCCGGTTCTCTGGCCACATCCTGCTTTAAACTCATTGTGTTAATTAATACGGTTATGAGATAGATGTGCAAAGAGACTTCTGTATGAAGGCATGAGGGAAGCAACTAATGCAAGTCAAAAGAAGTTCTCAAGGGGACTTCCACAGCAAAAATCCCCTAAAATACACAGCTACAGCTATTAACTACCCAGTTACCAACATTTCAGAGAGAGTTCCGAAAGTTTCTCCACTTGAGAAAATGAAGGAAAAGTTTTCATCTTCAGGTGTAGAACACCTGGAGGCCTCCACCCCTA